ATCTATGGGTGTGCCTATTCCATAACACTGACCTAACAGTTAAGCAATATAGGAATACAATGATACCTCATTTACTAAATGTGGCAAAAGGGTCAATACCTAAGTTTTGAAAGGACAAGAAGACTCCTGAGTTAAAATGACTGGTTGAGAAGGGTGGAAAAAATACAAAAAAAAAGGAGAAATTATACTAGTGGAGAAGATAAAACGGGCAAATTTATGAAAGGTTGGAATGAGTTTAAACTTACACAGAGGTTCGCTGTGCTGATGGGAGAGGGTGGGAGATGGTAAAAGGAGTTCAGAGGAAAAATGTAGATGTGAAGAAGGAACACTAGAGGAACAATAAGAAAAGGGGAAAAAGGGAGGTCCTGGGGGCGGGGGATAGGGGGAAAAGGGAAGGGGAAAAGGGGTTGGGAAAAACTTTAATAAATTGTAGACAAGTATGTATAAAAAATTATTTTTTTTTTTGCATGTTTTGTAAGCTGCAGTTAATAGAAAAAAAAAAAAGAAGCGGGGGTAGAAAGAATTAGAAAAAGGCAGATATACCTAAAGGAAGCTGGACTACCGAGATTGGGAGAAGAAAGATTAGTAGCCTTAGAAAAACCAATAACACAGGAAGAAATCCAAGTAGCAAGGAAAAGTCTCGGACCAGACAGCTACACAGTGAGATATTAATAATAAATTTAAAGAACAATTAGTCCCTAAAATGTGGGTGTATACATACATACATATATATTATATATATATATATATACACACACACACACACACATATACACACACATACATTAGGTCAGGCCTTGAAATTTCCACTCGCCTGCTCGCCAAGGGCGAGTGGAAATTATGGCGGGGAGCGAGTGTCCCCCCCAGGGGCGTATTTGCCACGAGGCAAACAAGGAGTTTGCCTAGGGCGGCATTTTTTAGAGGGGCAGCGCAGTGGAAATGCTGCCCCCTCTCTTTCCCACGGAAGGGACACTTCGTACAGGGGCGGGCTGCTGGGTCTTACCTGTGTCTGCGACTCTGTGTCCCAGTCACACGTTGATCCTGTCCAAGAGGCGCTGCTGGAGGAGGGGTAGGAAGGTTGTCAGCAGGTCCGGTGTCCCCCAGGGGCGTATTTGCCACGAGGCAAACAAGGCGTTTGCCTAGGGCGGCACTTTTTAGGGGGGCAGCGCAGCGGCAACGCTGCCCCCTCTCTTTCTTACGGAAGGGACACTTCGTACAGGGCGGGCTGCTGGGTCTTACCTGGGTCCGCGACTCTGAGGCGCTGCTGGAGGAGGGGTAGGAAAGTTGTCAGCATGTCCGGTGTCTTCATTTCCCTGGATCGCAATGTGTGCGCGGGATGACATGCCGCCCCTATCATCTTGCCACACCCCCCGGGATCACTCAACAGCCTATGGCAGCTTGTCCCTCCCTCTGCAAGCTCCGCCTCCTCACCAATGATTGGCCCGCCGGAACTGTAGCTCAGGAAAGGCACACACGTGGCCAATCACCGGCGAGGAGGCAGAGCTTGGAGAGGAGGAGCCGAGCAGCAGCACAAAGATCAAAGAAGTGAGGGAGCAGCCGGCGCAAGTGAAGAGGAGAGCGGCCGGAGAAGGAAGACAGCTGACCGGTAAGTGTCCGTGCCGTGCAGATGGTGCTGCTGCTGCAGCCAGGTATGCTGGCTGTGGATGGGAGAGAGAGGGAGCGAGCCCAGGCTGGAGCAGAGGTCAGCAAGGTAAGTATCATTGGTGTCAGTGGGAGGAATAATGCCCCATCATTGGTGTCACTGATACCAATGATGGGGCACCATTTCCCCCCCCACTGACACCAACGATGGGGCACTATTCCTCCCCCCACTGACACCAACGATGGGACACTATTCCCCCCCCCACTGACACCAACGATGGGACACTATTCCCCCCCCCACTGACACCAACGATGGGGCACTATCCCCCCCACTGACACCAATGATGGGTCACTATTTCCCCCCCCCCCACTGACACCAATGATGGGGCACTATTCCCCCCCCCCCACACACATTGACACCAATGATGTACATATGTCTGTGCATGTGTATTTCTGTGTATATACATGTATCTGTGTATGCGTGTCTGTATGTGCCTGTGTGTGTGTACATGTGTCTGTGTGTGTGTTTGTGTGTGTGTGTGTGTGTACATGTCTGTGTATGTGTACAGGTGTCTCTGTTCGTGTGTTTGTTGGTGGCAAGTAACTCTTAAGGCCTGGCTAGTAGCTCAGGACTTGAAATTTTAAGCCTTGCATTAGGTGAAGGAATGGAAATAAGGGAGGAGTCACTGCAAGCATATATTACAATTATACCAAAAGAGGGGAAAGATCGGTCCCAATGTGCTAGTTATAGACCTATATCATTATTAAATATTGATACAAAATTATATGCAAAGGTCTTAGCAACTAGGATGAAAGATCTAATACCAAAGTGGATTCATTTAAATCAAGTGGGGTTCTGTAGATTGATGCTGAAAAAGCTTTTCACAGGGTAGATTGGGGATTTATTATGGATATACTAGAGGCACTGGGATTAGGTCCTAAAATGAGTCAATGGATCAAAAAAAGTTATATAGCCATTCTTCAGCAGCTGTGAAGGTTAATGGTTTGCTGTCACAGTTTTTTAAAATACATAATGGAACAAGGCAGGGATGTCCGCTTTCTCCTTTATTATTAGTTTTATCTCTAGAGCCGTTATTAGCGACTGTACGGAATAGCATAGATGTAAAAGGAATTCAGATAGGAGATGTGGAACAAAGTCACAACATACACTGACGACATGTTATTCTACATTGTAAATCCTAAATTGACATTACCTAATTTAATGAGATTAAAATACTATGGTGAATTATGAAATTTAAAAATGAATCTTTCAAAGTCAGAGATTCTAAATATTAAATGTTCCGTTGATAGAGAACAAGGCCTTACAGAAAGACTTTCTTTCCTTTCACATGGAGGGAAAAAGAATTAAACTACTTAGAAATAAAATTAACTCCATCCCTTAAGAATTTATACCAGGTAAGCTACATTCCATTAATAAACGAGATAAAAGATGATCTGAGGAGATTATCAATAGGATCACTTTCCTGGATTGGACGAATAAATTTGGTAAAAATGGTGATAGTACCAAAAATTCTATACAAATTTCAAATGCTTTCAATATATTTACCGGGGACATATTTCGAGATTATGAAAAAAATTATACTTAGATATATATGGGTAAATAAAAAACCGAGAGTAAAATATTAAGTCCTGTCCAAAGATAAAGTAAATGGGGGCCTAAAAGTACCTGTTTTTAAGAGATATAACTATTCTGTATTAATATCACAAAAAGTAGATTGGAAATATAAAACACAAGGGAAAAGTTGAGTTAAAATGGAAAGGCACAAAATGACACAGCTAGACAGGATTACTTGGCTACCAAAACAGTTTCGTATGTTTGCTGAACACACAAAAACTTTAACACGGAATGTAATTAAAATATGGGATGTAATACATGAGAAAATGGGATAGGAATAAAATTCACCGTTAATACCACTGATGGGAACAAATTATTTCCCTCCAGGGAAAGATAATATTTTTGGAAAGTGGATTAAAAGATAGTAATGCACAGTTGAAATTATGGAAAAAAGGGAAAATATGCTCTTTTCAAGAATTAAAAAATAAAACGGATTTGCTTTTTTACATTAGATGAGTGGCGATATTTTCAATTAAAGCATTTTGCTACAGTGCTTCCACAGCTGTTAAGATCAGTGGAAGACCTGTATCCATTTGAACAAATGTTTAGTTCAGGCATAATAAGAAAACAAGGTACCTTGTGTATTTATAAGATTTTTACTGCAATATCGAGACCCACTTCTCCACCGTTTTTGGAGAAGTGGGAAAAGGAGTTTGGAATACAACTGAATGAACAACAAAAAAAGAAAATATTTAAACTAGCACATGGTACTGTAGATATGGCTACAATAGAAATGAACTATAAAATGTTTATCAAGATAGTATATCACTTCTAATGCGGAACACAGACTACAAGCAGAGAAATCACATTTATGTTGGAGGGGGTGAGGGATAAAGGGAACAATGGCACATATATGTGGGACTGCCCCAGAATACAGGAGTTTTGGCAGGAAATAATTCAGATAATACAAGAGATCTCAGGGATGAATATTTTTAAAGACCTTTGGGTATGTTTATTCTATAATACCGAGTAAACCGTGAAACAATATAAGAATATGATGGTACTGAATGAGAGAGAGAGAGAAAGAGAGAGAGAGAGAGAGAGAGAGAGAGAGAGAGAGAAAGAGAGAGAAAGAAACATGGGAAAGATGGAGGGAGTATGTAGAGCTGGTAGAAATTTAAGTGAAGAGAAGAAAGAGGGACGATGTAAAACGAAGGAAAAAGATAGAGGAGGAGGAAAGAAGGGGGGAAAAAGATGGTAGAGGGAGTAATGAAGGAATGAGAAGAAAAAGGGAAAAGGAAGAGGAGAAGAGTCAGGGGGAGGTAAATTTTGGGGTGGGGAATGGCAAAAATATATTTTGGAAAATGTATTTGTATTGATGTGTATAGTGTTTGTGATTTTGTAATATGAAATGAATAAAAAAAAAAAAAAAGCAAAAAAAAAAAAAAAAAAAAAGCATAAATGTACACTGAACTATGCATGTGCGGCTCAGAGAACACAAAAGCTGACAGGAAGGGAAAAAGATTTATGGAAGAAGAGACCACTAGGGTTTTTTCTGTTATAAAAATCCTATTGGTCTGCATTTTTTTAACTCTTAAATATATTTCCACTTTATCATCAGTTCACTTCAGTTATCACCCTTGATGAGTTTTTAGAGGATGAATTTAAAATTTGTACATCAAATACAATTTTGCAAATATACTGCAATAAGCATGTAACGTTAAATAAAAAAATTTTTGTTCCCCATTTAATTTCATCTGTGGTTATATGCACTCTGCCTAGTGAGCACAAGCAGTTATGAGATTTATAATATAATACTTACGCTTTTTACTCCAACAGGTGCACAGCGGTTCTGAATCTTACTAAGACATTTCTTGTGGCAGATTGTCTTGCAGGCTGATTGGCATAGAAAAGAAACAGTGAACTTCGATTTTTACTGTTCAAATAAAAATATAATTTATGATAAGCACAAGTCCTTTAACCCTTTTAATGCCATGGATGTAAGAACCACCTGCAGCAGGCCAGCTCAGTAACCCTTACATCTGACCATTACTCATCGGCCAAGAGACTTATGATGTCTGTATACAAAGTTCTGTGTGGACAAGCTGTTGTGATCATAATCACTGGAATGCCCTCTACCTTTATCATGCACAAGGGGTGAGGAAAAAGCTGAAGTAGCGGAAAGGCATAAATCAGGAAGAACTAATCTCAAGGATCCCTGGTCCAGGATACAAACCTAGTCAGCTTGTTGATGAATCTGGATGCCAAGAGATCCACATCTGGCATCCCCCATTTAAGATAAATTGCTGTCAATACCTCTGGAAATTGCAACTTTAAAACAGTATGTACTGCGTCTGCCAGGAAGCTAGCTGTCTTTTGCAACAGAGACAGCCCTGGACTCTTAGATTCCTCTTGAGAAGACTCATCTAAAGAGGACTCAAGCATCAGCACCAACTTCCACCTCTCCTCCTCATCTAGTAGATGTTCCTCCTCACCCTCCCACAAAAGGAGAGGAAGGGGAAGGAGAGCACCCATGCTTGTGTCCCAGGTGTTCCAAACAAGTGAGAACCCCAGAGGGTTGTCAGCCATTGAAAATTCTTTCCTGAGATACAAAGGAACTGGAGGAACGCGCCCCTGAAACAGTGCAAAATACAAGGTAAGGGCAGGGATTCAGAACTAAAGTGAAACCTACAGTTGTGTTCAAAATAATAGCAGTGTGTTGAAAAAAGTGAATAAAGCTCAAAATCCTTCTAATAGCTTTTATTTCCATACACACAAATGCATTGGGAACACTACATATTCTATTCCAAATCAAAACATGAAGAAAAATATATCAAATTTGTGTTGTTCCTCTAAAAAAAAAAAAAAAGGAAGAAAAGTGAATATTAGACTGTTAAAAAAAAAAACCCAGTGTTTGTATTCTTCTTTATAAACTCAAACATTCACTATATAAACTGAAAAATGTTTGGAGATTTTGCTTTCCTTTGAATCACTTAATTAATATTTAGTTGTATAAGCACTGTTTCTGAGAACTGCTGTACATCTGTGTTGCATGGAGTCAACCAACTTCTGGCACCTGTGAATAGGTATTCCAGCCCAGGATGATTGGACTATATTCCACAGTTCTTCTCCATTTCTTGGTTGTGCCTCAGAAACTGCATTTTTGATGTCACCCCACAAGTTTTCTATTGGATTAAGATCTGGGGATTGGGCTGGCCACTCCATAACGTCAATCTTGTTGGTCTGGAACCAAGATGTTGCACGTTTTCTGGTGTGTTTGGGGTCGTTGTCTTGTTGGAACACCCATTTCAAGGGCATTTCCTCTTCAGCATAAGGCAGCATGACCTCAAGTATTCTGATGTATTCAAACTGATCCATGATCCCTGGTATGCGATAAATAGGGCCAACACCGTAGTATGAGAAACATCCACTTATGATGCTTGCGCAACCATGCTTCACTGTCTTCACAGTGTACTGTGGCTTGAATTCAGTGTTTGGGGGTCGTCTGACAAACTGTCTCCGGCCACTAGACCCAAAAAGAACAATCTTACTTTCATCAGTCCACAAAATGTTGCGCCATTTCTCTTTAGGCCAGTCAATGTGCTCTTTTTTTCAACAGTGTGACTTTGCGGGGGCTTCTTGCAGATAGCTTGGCTTCACATAGGTGTCTTCTAATTGTAACAGTACTCACAGGTAACTTTAGACCTTCTTTGATCTTCCTGGAGCTGGTTGTTGGCTGAGTCCTTGCCATTTTGGCTATTCTTCTATCCATTCGAATGGTAGTTTTTCGCTTTCTTCCACGTCTCTCAGGTTTTGGTTGTCATTTTATAGCATTTGCGATCATTTTAGCTGAGCAGCCTATCATTTTCTGCACTTCTATATATGTTTTCCCCTCTCCAATCAACTTTTTAATCAAGGTACGCTGTTCTTCTGAACAATGTCTGGAACAACCCATTTTCCTCAGAATTTCGGAAAGAAATGCACTGTAACCAGCATGTACAACATTTGCTGCTTTCCTTCCTTAAATAAGGGCAATAATTGCCACCTGTTTTTCAAAGAATGAATGACCTCACTAACAGAACTCCACACTGCTATTATTTTGAACATGCCCCTTTCAATTAGTGATTCAATTACACAGAATCAGCAGCATGCATGTCATGACTGTTGGGTCTGTTGGATTTCTATTACTCTACTACACCTGATAGTAAATTATTTGCCATGTAGAAATATCATTTCTACCAAAAAAAAGTGATTGATCAGGTTAGTGATGTCTGACTGCTATTATTTTGAACACAACTGTAGGCGAGCCACTGCAACACAAACTATGCATAGTGAAATAGTGATTTGAGGGCCCCAAAATGGCAGCTGAGAGGAGAGCCTGGTAAGAACCAAGATACCTGATGGTGACAAAGACCCCTGAAGCAAGTGCCCCAATAGCACCTATGGATATATCTTAGCTGCCCACGTGCCTGTGTGCTGTGCTGCCATTGTAGAGGAAGGTGCTGTTGCAAGACACACTAGGGAAAAGTGTGTCTCTAGCACTCGAAATTCATGATGGTACTTGTGCGGTCTTGATGAGGTCAGAGTGCTGCGCACGGATGGTGATGTCCTACCTATTCAAAGCACTGCTATGGCAGTATAGCGCTCCATCCACAACTTAGCATAGCAGGAGCACGTGGGGACCGACCACAGCTTTACCACTGATGGGGGAATTCACCATACAGCTACAGGGCCTTTGACAAGCTCAGAGTTCACCTATCACAGCAGGCACACCTGAAAAGGCCTTCAGGGACACAACTTCCCCACAGGGGCTCACCACCTAGGACTTGTACAGCACACTGCCATCAAGGTCACCAGATACAAAGTACCTCAGTGATTGCTGCCGGCAGCATCCAAAGTAGAACAGCAACCCTACAGGCCATTCCCAATCTTCCCTAGTGGATCCAGGTAATGTCCCCTCAGGACCCCAAAGCCATAGGCAACTGATGTGGAAAACAATTTTTCCTTATTCCAATAGGGGTGTACAAAATAGGAAATCAAAAAAAGAATCATCAGAGAAACTACACAGATGCATTCATCACCTAAGGACACTAGCTCAAAAATTAGGCTTCGCTGAGTTTGGAGGGGTTAATACCTGGGTGGGGGAACCTGCTTTCTTTTGGCCAGTGCCCACTCAGCTAAAGATGGCAGTGGTGAATATGAAAATGCCTTGTGTTCTGTGATAACTGATTAAGAAATATTATTTTGATAAACATTTGTGTGATTATGAGAGGATGTACAAAACCAGCAGAAATTTTTTCCCTTTATGGGTCCTCTGCTTTCAGAAAATGTATGGTTTGGAGTGCATGCTACAAAACCTTTAACAGAATTAGTTCACCTTTTCATTCTTTATGAAAAAGTGAACTGAGCCTTTAGCAAACTTCTTTTTGCACATTTGCACTTACCACTGCAAAGATAAGCCTTCTCCATGGGCCAGATGGTTGATGAGCAATGTTCACAGGACTGCCCAATGGTTACCTGATAGCTCATAAATACATGTCCATTGGATTCCACCTGCAAATAAAGAGTGCGAAAGGACTATTATTTCATTCTATAATTTCCATTCTGGTGTATCAACTTAAAATAAAAAGTTCAGAATATGTGACACATCTAGAACTGTGGATAACACATTAGTTACCCCTCCATGGTAAGAAGCAAGAGAGTCACAGACAGTTTTACACCCTTGTTCATTCACAGGTCCCAGCATGCTGCTCATTTTCTCATTCTTGGCAAATGAGTAATGAATGAACAACTTGAAAAAATTTTAATCTCGGAAAAATCTTAAAAAACCTATTTACTCCTTTCAGAACAATGTGTTTAAGGTTTAACAAACTCAACAAAAATATGAGAAAGTTTTTTTCCTGTACACACATGAGCATGTGCATGCATATCAACCTGAATGCTGCCATTTAATCCAGCTGAAACAGATGAAGAGATTGAGAGATGGTAAGTTTTTTTTTAGCAATTAGCAGTGTTTTGTCGCGTTTTTTCACGTTTGCATTTTTTTGTGTATTCTTTTGCTTAAAAATAAGTCCAAAAATACCGGTTTGCCGTGTTTTACCGCGTTGTTCAGCATTAGAGTGTTTTTACAGCTAAAAAACTCTTCTACAAACCCACTAGTTCTGGGGATTTTTTTTTCTAGCCAAAAAATGCCCCTGCCAAAAAACACGGAGTACAGTCTATGTGTGCATGAACACATAGGATAACATGCCAGGGAGTTTACTGGCTGTAGAAAAAAAACACCCAAAAGCCAAAAACAACAGCTGTAAAAACATCTAGTGTGCATGCTGACTTAATGCCATGCCTTTCAAATCAGATGCCCCAAGTCCAAATAAAGGGCTGAAGACCTGTGATCAAAAAGGGGTTACATTACTAGAGCCAGTTTGTATACTAACAGAAGTAAGCTCACATTTTGATCTTGTTTCCTCTTCTTCTTCTGAGATTTTCTCTGCTGAAGATACAAAAAACATCATCCATTTATAGCAATTAATAAGACAGGACGTTAGGAGGCTTTATTGTGTAATATTCTTAACCATTTGTAATGTCATTGCTATCATGTTAACAATGCGGTAATTGTCTTTCTCCTAAGCTCATATTTTAGTATATCCCACATAAATTCTTAAATACAGTGCACATACACTTCCTAAGTATCATTAACGTTGGTACATTAGATTGATAGATACCAAATAGCTGTATGGTGTTGAACAGGTCCATTATTTCATCCCACTTTTCCTCAATTAAATACACACCAATAAACATTTACCAATTTAAAACCAGAGCTTGCCACAATCCCTCAAATATCAAATCAGTCAAAATTCCCCCAGCAGCTGGCATCATCCTGTCTCCCCCAACAGTTTCTGCAATTATAAATTATATATTTCCAGTGCTCAGAGGTACAACCCTCAAGTTCTCCACCAAATGCATCGAGTTATTGATGTCAGCATGTGGGACTGGTAGTGATTCTGCCACCTTTTTCTTCTTCCTAAGAATACACTATATTGCCAAAAGTATTGTGAAGCCTGCTTTTACACGCACATGAACTTTAACCACTTGCCTACAAGGCACTTTCACCCCCTTCCTGCCCAGGCCAATTTTCAGCCCTGTTGCACTTTGAATGACAATTGCACGGTCATGCTACAATGCACCCAAACAAAATTTGTATAATTTATTTAGGACAGATAGAGCTTTCTTTATGTAGTATTTAATCACCACTAGGGTTTTTATTTTTTTGCTAAACAAACTAAAAAAGACTGAAAATGTTGAAAAAAAAAAAGTTTTTCTAAGTTTCAGTTATACAATTTTGCAAAAAAGTAATTTTTTTTCTTTCACTGACGTGCGCTAATGAGGCTGCAGTAATGGGCACTGATAGGCGGCACTGATGGCCATTGACAGGCATAACTGATGGGCACTGATAGGCAGCACTCATATGGCACTAATAGGCGGCACTGACTGGAACTTTTAGGTGGCGCTGATAGGCAACACTGACTGGCACTGAAAGGCAGCTCTGATATGTGGCATTGATGGGCACTAATATGTGGCATTGATGGGGCTACACTGATAATCAGTGCCCTGATGATCATTGCAGATATCCCCTCTGAGGAATGCCGATTACTGGCTCTCTGCTCATGAGCTGTCGGCAGGAGAGGACTGCTGATAACCGGCATTTCCTATTTACATGTGATCAGCTGTGATTGGACACAGCTGATCACATAACAGAGCTGATGTCATTGGCTCTTTACAGTGATCTGTGTGATCCTTATATGGCGGGTGAGAAGTGATTAATTGCATTCCAGTCTTAGTCTGTAGAGTTCAATATTAAGTTGGCCTACTCTTTGCAGAGGCTTCAACTCTTCTGGGAAGGCTGTCCACAAGATTTAGGAGTGTGCCTATGGGAATGTTTGACCATTCTTCCAGAAGCATATTTGTGAGGTATGGCACTGATGTCAGATGAGAAGGCCTGGCTTGCAGTCTCCACTCAAATTCATTCCAAAGGTGTTTTATCAGGTTGAGGTCAAGACTCTGTGCAGGCCAGTCAAGTTCCTCCACCCCAAACTCGCTCATCCATGTCTTTATGGACCTCGCTTTGTGCACTGGTGCACAGTCACATTGGAAGAGGAGGGGGCCATCCCCAAACTGTTCCCACAAAGTTGGGAGCATGAAATAGTCAAAAATATCTTGGTATGCTGATGCTTTAAGAGTTCCCTTCACTGGAACGAAGGGGCCAAGCCCAACACCTGAAAAACAATCCCACACTATAATCCCCCCTCCACCAAACTTTACACTTGCCACAATGCAGTCAGGCAAGTATCATTCTCCTGGCAACTGCCAAACCTAGACAGGTCCATCAGATTGCCAGACAGAGAAGTGTGATTTGTCACTCCAGAGAACACGTCTCCACTGCTCCAGAGTCCAGTGGCGGTGTGCTTTACCCCACTGCACCCAATGCTTTGCATTGCACTTGGTGATGTAAGGCTTGGATGCAGCTGCTTGGGCATGGAAACCCTTGTGCTAATCTGAAGACCACACGAAGTTTGGAGGTCTTTAGCTATTGACTCTGCAGACAGTTGGTGACGTCTGTGCACTGTGTGCTTCAGCATGCGCTGAACCCACTCTTTCATTTTATGTGGCCTACCACTTCATAGCTAAGTTGCTGTTGTTCCCAGTTGCTTCCACTTTGTTATGATACACTAACAGTTGACCTTGGAATATTTAGTAGCAAGGAAATTAAACAGATGGATTATTGCACAGGTGGCAACCTATCACGGTACCACGCTTGAATTCAATGAGCTCCTGAGAGTGTCCCATTCTTTCACAAATGTTTGTAGAAGCAGTCTGCATGCCTAAAGTGCTTGATTTTATACACCTGTGGCCATGGAGGTGATTGGAACACCTGATTCCAATGATTTGGAGGGGTGTCCCAATACTTTTGACAATGTAGTGTATGTTGTTTTAATAAAGCGGTTGATGCTTGATTACACTACACTATGGGGCTGCTTGTTTTGGAGGCATATGAGGTGTTTAACCACGTGCCTACTGGGCACTTATACCCCCCTCTTTACCAGTCCAATTCTCAGCGCTGTCGCAGTTTGACAATTGCGCGGTCATGCAAGATTGTACCCATATTAACTTTTTATCATTTTATTTCTCACAAAGAGCTTTCTTTTGGTGGTATTTAATCGCCGCTGGGCACTTTACTTTTTGTGCTATAAACAAAAAAAGTGTAAAAAAAAAAAAGTAAATCTCAGGGCAAGTGAGCGCTTAAAATAGATTATAAAATCAATTAATGAATGAATGAAAATGAGACAATAGCAGCTGAACACCAAAAAAGGTACCGTATAAACCTTCAAAATAATCAGAATACATAAAAAGGGGGGAGGTGCAGCGCTAACTAAATAAATACACATTTATATAAACCAATGTAAAGGTGCTGTTAAAGTGCAAAAAGGTGACTATAAATAATGAGTATAGTCCATAGCGTGGTCAAAACCCAAGAGAGTCTTCAAAGAACTCCAATGCCTGGATTCGTGGATGAGGTGATAAAGGTATAAAGATTGCGCACTCACCAGATACGCAATCCAAATGCGCATTCAAAACAGATAATCCTAGGGTCCTCATATGGATCTGGTCAGATCTGGTCACAAAAGCCCCTCGCCACTTGATAGTGTTGCCACACATAGAAGAAAAAAGGCCGCTGATCATATCCTCCAACTATGGACTGAACTCCTCTTCATGCGCCATATCAGTCAGTTGGGTATGAACGGATTATTCCGATCGGCAGAGACCGATCAGTAAAGGAATGAAGCTGTAATGAGAGGACTCCAGATCCCGGGCACTGTACACGTTGTCACCCTGTGTGGGCTCCTCTCCGCTCTATGGGGCAGTGATGAGGGTACAGGTGACACGCTCCTCTCCAGGTGGGATGACGTCCTCCTCTGATCAGGTATGGTCACCGGAATGCGGGTGACGTGGTGTCCTGGTGAGAGGAGCGCTTCTCTCACAACTTTCCTTCCCTGCGACTACTGACGACTGCCAGCTACACTGCAGCCTTTTTTCTTCTATGTGTGGCAACACTATCAAGTGGCGAGGGGCTTTTGTGACCAGATCTGACCAGATCCATATGAGGACCCTAGGATTATCTGTTTTGAATGCGCATTTGAATTGCGTATCTGGTGAGTGCGCAATCTTTATACCTTTATCACCTCATCCACGAATCCAGGCATTGGAGTTCTTTGAAGACTCTCTTGGGTTTTGACCACGCTATGGACTATACTCATTATTTATGGTCACCTTTTTGCACTTTAACAGCACCTTTACATTGGTTTATATAAATGTGTATTTATTTAGTTAGCGCTGCACCTCCCCCCTTTTTATGTATTCTAAAAAAAAAAAAAGTTTCCTTGTTTCTATTAAAAAATTTTTTCAAACAGGTAATTTTTCCTCCTTCACTGATGTGCGTTGATGAGGCAGCACTGATGAGCACTAATAGGCGGCACTGATAGGCAGCACTAATGAGGTGGCACGGATAGGCGGCACTGATAGGTAGCACTGACTGGCATCACTGCTGGGCACGGCTAGGCATTGACTACTGGGCACCGACTGGTGGCACTGACTGGCAGCACTGCTGGGCTGCACTGGTGGGTACACTGCTGGGCACAGGTAGGTGGCACTGCTGGGCGCACTCCTGGGTGGCACTGCTGGGCACCGATCATCAGGGCACTGATAAATCAGTGCCCTGATGATCGGTGCCGATCCCTGCTCTGACAACTGCCAGTTCTCGGCAGTAGTGAGGAAAGTAGTGAGGAAAGTAGTGAGGAAAGCTCTGACAGCGTGAAGAAAGTACAGCCAAGAACCGGCAATTGCATTTCCCGGGGATCAGCGTGTCACTGGACATGGCTGATCACGTGGTAAAAGGCCGCTGTGATTGGCCTTTTACCACATCACGTGATCACCTGTGTCTGTAGGACACAGCGATGACAGAGATTGCCGGGTGCGCGCCAACGGGTGCGTGCAGGAGAGCGCGTTCTGGGAGGACATCATATGACACCCTCCCAGAACTGGCCGGCCGCAGTGTAACCGTCATTCGACTATCTGCAGTTGGCAAGTAGTTAAGGAGAGAGAGCCTGGTGACCAAGGAAGATCATCATAACATGTTACTTTAGTCCAGAGGTCTATAAACTGTGGCCCCGAGGGCCGGAATGCGGACCTCTGCTAGCCTTTATCTGGCCCTTAGGGCACTATACCTCTGAATGATACAAGACACAATTCCTCCCACTGACACCAATGAGGCACTATTCCTCCCACGGATACCAATGATGGGGCACTATTACTCCCACTGATACCAATGATGGGGCACTACTCATCCTTCTACTGACCACCAACCCTGAGGTGGTATTTATTTTCACTGATGCTGGGCAAAGGACATTTTTTACCTTCACTGGCCACAATCCGGCC